TTAATATTAAAATACCAGTTTGGTTACTATAAACTTAACTCATCTTTGCTCAGTATTGTTGTTTTTCATTATATACTATTCAAATTATATCCATTGCAGTGCCTTATTGCACAGCAGATAATTACTTACTTGAATTCCTTATTTAAATTAATAATACTAACAAAATTAAGATGCAAATATTGTAACAATAATAAAGAATAATATTATCTGTTTTATCAGAAGCTTTTTTCAATATTTTAATTTTTAAGACTGTTATTAGTATTTATTAAATTATTTTTTTTTTCTAGTTATAAATAACTGTATAAAAAATAAAAATATTAAAAAAGCTTTTAACAAAACACTGATAATGTTGTTCTTTAAAATTTTTATAATTTCTTAGTTTCAACAACGTAATAACAGTAAGTGTAATTTGGAGAAGTTTAAACTAAACAACGAAGAAAAAAATTATACTTGTGTGTTTTCCTAACTATGACTGTTACAGTCGCCCAAGAAGTTTTTTTTTGTTGTGAAAAAAAGTTTTCTTAAGAAATGTATGTGTGTGGCGTCTAACCAACATTGTTATCATGGTCTATGTACTTAAATGTTAACTGATTGTATTTATTAAGTATGGTATGTGGTTGTACTCAATATGTGCAAGAAGGAGACAACTATTTTACACTGCACCTTCATAAGCAAGGTAAATAAACTGTACATTTTGTATATATATATTTTTAAAAGATTAAAAAAACATCTTACTATGTAAATTAATCCTTTAACGCAGGCAACATAATTATTATTTTTAAATGTCTCGATTAGGTCTATTTCACAATGTATGACAAACCATTGTTTTCTCTGTAAATCAAAATATTCTATAGCAGTGGCATGTTGTTTTTCACTAGTGCAGCCGCCAATCTATTAACAAATTATACATGCATAATATTTCATTTGTTTTTTTTTTTTTTAATTTCAATTTTTTTTATAGTTCTACACAATTATTACATTATAATAGATGAACTGACAAATAGATACTATGAAGTGTAAATAAGATTTTTACCGCATAAACAGAAGATCCAAGTTGCACTAAAAATGGTTTAAGACGTTCAAAATGCATGTCCATAAAGGATATCCATTTGTTTGTTTTCAGATCGAATAGATATGTTGATCTCATTCCATTGCCATATCTAGAACCTCCAGCGGCAAATAAGCGACCATCATCGAGTAATATAACAGTACACAAAGTTCTAGGTGGTAATAAGCGATATTGAAAGGTTTTACACAGACAATTTTCACATATGCAATTCTGCCATTGATCTGACGCAGCATCATACCACTCTGGAGTTGATTCAAATGGATAATGACTTATCACTAATATGCCCTAACAAAATAAGAGCTAATGAATTTATAGTAAAATCTAAAAAGATTGTTTGTAATCTGAAGGTAACTTGTCTATTTTTTCAAAACTTTTAGCATATAAACAAGTTAGACATTAATTAAGTAGGCACTACTAACTTTTCTAAATGGTCTTCGATGCTCCATTCGAAAAGAACTAAGTTCATTAATTTTAGCGCCTTGATACTCATGAACCTTTATGACTCCTTGGTAAGTATTCAGAACTAATGGCAACCGAACATACCATAACAATTCTGAAGAATATTTGGATCTAGTTGCTGGATCATATTTTATCCAATTCATTACAACATCATAAACCTTTAAAATAGTACTTATTCACAACAATTCAATAACTTAATTAAAAAAATTATACCATGTCTTCTTTAGCAAATAAATCATCATTCTTGATTAATAGCATTATTTCATCATAATTAGTCTTCATGAACTCTTTAGAGTTAGCTACAAGTCTATAAATAATAAATAATATTAGTTTATTTATTTTTCAATTAAATGTAATTTTACACAAAATAATAATTACATTAATTATGAGCTAACAACTATTTACAATAAAAAGCTTTTAGTAATCACTAATCAATTGTTTTTATGACAGAATTAAGGAAATAAGTTTAAAGCGTGTTGTTTCAGTTTTTTAAATATTGGTGCTGAAATATTTGCAGGCCTATTTTAAAATCAATAAACACGCCACAATATAGAGTTATAGTATATTTTTTTATAACAATCCAAAAAATTGCCAAGTTAGATAGACAAATTTTTAAATTTTAAGTAATTTTAAAACACAAAAAAATACATATATCTAAAACATACATGTCGTTGCTTAACACATTTGGTACAATGGTACATACTACGTAGAATAGTTTTATTTTTTTTTAATTTACAGACAGAAAAGTATTATATAATTGTATTATCATTAATATTATTTTCTTGTGTGCTAACGAGTTCAATTATTTTATTATTATATTATTAGACAATAGTATTGACTAAGATCAACCAAAAAAATATGCACTTTTCATTGAAATCCAAACCCTACTTATAGGTAATATATTTAGGTATCCCTCTGCATATATATTAATTATTTAGTCATTGTTAGCTTTCAGAGAATGGATTATTTATGCATATGCTAGTAACTACTAAGTATAAAATTATGTAAGAAGGCAATTTTAATGTAATAGTTAACTAGCGTTTTTTTCAGTTTTATATGGGCCGGTCAAAAGTTGTGTCCCTCTCTCAAAAACTGAAATGACACCACTGAATTAAAATGCACTCCATACACCATACCTTCCTTCTAACAACTGACAAAATAACGCCCATAAAAAGTATTAGATACTGTCTCAAAGTTATTAAAAGCAAATAATAAATATGGGTTCATGTAATTGTGAACTTATCACTTATGATGAAATAATCAACCGCTCAAAAACTAAAGCCTGACAAATAGATTGACTTGCATTATTTGATTTTTTAGATTAAAATTTTATTTAGAAGTAGGTATAAATATAAAAATCACCTGAAATTGTTTATTATATAAGTCATGCATATAGAATAGAGATCATTTAATCCTAAAGTATTAGCAAAATCTTTCATATTTATGCAATTTTCCGCGTCAATTATCTTTTTTATGTAGTTTACACATGCAGTTTGGACTTCATCTAGTAAAAATATACTGGAACTAATCAACAGATCCTGAAATAAAAATAAAATTGAACATATTTAACTATACTCCGACCGACGAGAGAAGTAAGCCATTTCGCAAATGCAGAGTGACGTCAGTGATTATACCGAGGCTTTGTTTTCCCCACTCAGACATTCAGTGCGGTATACATAAACACGTACTAAATTTCCGACTCTTGTCAATACTGTGACCTGACAGGTTGTTGGTAAACAGCCAGTCGGTCACGGAATTGAGCAGTGCAGGACAAGGATGTGTAAACTCAGATATGGTTTGGTCGAGGCACGGTTTACTTCTCTTATTGCCGGAGTATAATATATTATAATATTAATATGATAAAATGTTATGAAAAAACAAATAATGAAACTAGATACACAATAATATACATAATAAATATTACCTGAACATTATTTTCTGTAATATATATTTCTGATGTGTAAAAAAATTGAACAAGTGTACTCAAAATTTCAAAGCTGACATCAGTTATATTTATTTCTATTTTATCTTGGAACCGTTCTTTGAAATGACTGTCAAACATTCTATCAAAATAGTCACTATTTGAAGCTAAGACAATTTTGTGGGCATTTAGTTTTTGGTTGTTCACTACCAGTGATACGTCCATTGTACATTCGTCTCTGAAATGTATTATTATTTATTTTTAATTATATTAACAAATAATGAATTTTATTATTTAATTGTATAATAATGTACACAATTTTTTTACTAGGTAATAAATAGTAATACGGTAAACTGTATACATACAGTTGCATCAAATTTGAGCGAGGTTTATTTTTTCCTTTGTATTTTAAACCTTTAGATGTTAAAGCAATTTCGGTATCATCCTCTGGATATCTGAAAATCATTATAAACAAAATGGTAACATTCTTGTACTTTTTCACATTTTTAACATATAACAATATTTTTTTTTCTTAAATATTGATAAGAAGTAAGTGTAATATTTTTAACAAACAAAATAAATCAGTCCAAAAACAAAATTTAAAAAAATTGTCGTTGTGTTTTTAAAAAATTAATTAAGGGAGGTCAGAACCCTTGTTGGGACTATATGTTTTTTCTTTATAAACCTAACTTAACATAGCAAATTAATGTTTGGCAGTCAGCAGAATTTATCATTTGTTTAATATTGCCTATTGTCAAACATAGCCTTGATTATCTGAACTAATTGGGACCGCATCTAGTTCAGAAACGTGAAAGTTTGGATGCTAAGCTATTATTATTACTGGGAAAACATTAATATGTATTCATACATATCATGAAAATACATGCATAATACTATATGATATACCTATTGATATTTATAATTTATTATTAATAATAAAAACATAGGTAAATGTATTACACATAACTATATATCTACATGACTATCTGTACAAGCGCTACAACGCTTATTGATGTTCAGATAATAGAGGAATCATAAATCTAGGTTCTACTGTAGGTCAATTTACTCTTAAAGGAATAAATGTGAAAAAAACAGTGCCCCTATCATCGTAAGTTCTAAACGGGAAGATGAATTTACTCCAATAACAAAGTTAATAACACAAAATTGATTCTGCTAAATTGTAAATTTGATATGACACAAATCGGTCTGAGAAAGAAAACAAATAGGTAATGCCCTAACATTTGTGTAAATGAAATATTGATTGAAGAACATTTTTGGGTAACTATCCATAGGTAAGGTATTTTATAAATCGAAATTTAATCGTACCTATGTAGTATATTATATTCCACAACAATTAGGTATTATGATTACCTAGATCAAAATGTAATGTTAACATTAAAAATACCTATTTGAATTTAATGGGATAGTCTCTCGGGCTGATGTCTCCATCGAAATATCCATGCTACCGCCGTTTTTAACCAATGAGTTTCGTCCAAAATGTTCAACCACAATTTAAAATTACATCAATTTCGTTTCTAGTGACTATCTTTGATGGCACTTATACAATTAGATATTGTTTTGAGTTCAAAATCTGATGGAAATATGGAATCTCGGAACTCGGATCTGCCGTATGTAAGTTGCAACGAGTCAGCATCACAATATCGAATACTCGGAAACCACAACAATTTATTACATACAAAATATGTAGAATTCACATTTCACAGGAATACTCAAAAACAGCCGAATCAACCGATAGAGATTACAGGAATACAGGATTCAGAAGCGGCCGATGCGCGCCGAAGCGATAACAAGAGTGCGGTATCCAATCAGTGTTGTGGTGTGATTAAAATATAAAAAACACTACAGTGCTGCAAACCTTAAAATCAGAAGTGTTTGAAGCTCGCTGTCCGTGGATTGTGGAACCACGACAGTCCACACTCCACAGAACGTCTTCGAAATCTTCGATCTTCGAATCACCAGATGAAAAAACTAAATTTAGCTTGATGCAGTATAACGTACAAGACGCGAATAGAATTTTTCATCGAACTATTGAGGACATCAATATTCAATGCCCAATGGTATAGATGAAAAATCATTAGGACATCAAGCCACTCCAGTACCAACAAAACGATTGTGTGGTCGATTATCGATATTTTATTTGTTTGGGGACGTCGGGATCAGTTCCACAACAATAGGGGACGCAGGGTATGCATTGTCTAGGTTTTATGTTTAAATGGGGGGGGGGGCATCCAGTTTTCTTTAGTATTCTTGTCTATGGGGCCATCATCAAAAGGAGAAATTGAATAAGTTACTATTCGAAAAAGTAATGGAAAATGTTTAATGTAGGTACATTCTATAATAGATTGATATTATTTTAGACAATATAATTTTGATATTATTCGAAAAACAAATAATTCAAACAGTTAAAGAATTTACATTTTTAGTTATTGAAAATGATCTTTCATTCCTTTATAGTGAAATTCTTACTGTTTGTATTATATATTATTTAAGTCCTCCGGTTATTGTCACTATACCTATGGCCAAAATGTAATTTTTCAAATTAAAACTGTTGAAAAACTATCTTCGGAATTCAATTTCACAAGAGAGATTGGAACTTTTCTACTTTACCGGACACCCTTTTTTTTGCGATTTTTTTTGGGGGACTTTGTCATATTTTTGACGAAAAAAATTATGGTGAAATCAGAATTTGGGGCTCGGACTTAGTTTCGAAGTTATCGGCGAATGAAGTTGGCTTTTAAGTTCACTGTGCCTATCACTTGTGCTTTTATGGAGAGTACGGTGCGAGGTTATCCACTTTATCAGGTAATTGCACCGAAAACTTAAATAATGATATAAATAACTCATTGTATTAGGTTTATTGTTCCATTAAAACACCATAAAATTGTAGATTAAGTATATCTAACGTATTACATAACACTGTGTTTTTCTGTGCGTACGCGAAAACATCTACGACACTACTTTCCTATACGATGGAGAATCATATTAATTTATTCGAAGCAATCGAAGCAAATGAAAATGTTATATTTAATGACGGCCGTGGCGGTGACGACGACGGCGACGGCGACGGCGACGACGACGACGACGGCAACGACAATGTATAAGAATTGTAGTTGATAATGAATAAAAATTAAAATAGTGCACAATCTGTTTTCATCTTAGATCATATACTAGTATATGATCTAAGGTTTTCATATAATCTGTGGCGTTACTGCGCATGCGCTGGGACTTGTGATTATTCGCGTGTATGGGCAGTGATGCATTGCTAGCGGCACTCGTCGCTACGCTCCTCGGCGCCGTCGCTCCGCTCCGCAAATCGAAAATATCCCTCGACTTGCTGTGCAACACCACCTTAAGTAGGTCACAGGATAAGTTATGTCGTAGTATGGGCAGTGATGCTTTGCTAGCATCAATCTTCATGATAGGGACAGTGAACTTAAAAGCCAACTTCATTCGCCGATAACTTCGAAACTAAGTCCGAGCCCCAAATTCTGACTTCACCATCGTTTTCAGCGTACTTACCTACATATATTTCAATTACAAAAATCGCAAAAAAAAAGGTGTCCGGTAAAGTAGAAATATACCGAGAGATTAACTAAGTATAGGTACTTAATATTGAAAAATTAAGGACAAATGAATTTGATCTGGGAAATGTATAAATTACTGCAAATATAAAGACTAGTAAGAAAAACTTTTTTAAATAAATCATTATTTGTTGAGAGTTTATATTTTGTAATTTTAATTTTAATGTACCTAATATTGTGTTAAAATCGGGAACATACCTATTACATTGTGTTAATTAACCAGTCGTTGGTCGCGTCTTTTTTTTGTACTCCTTTGGTCGCGTGGTGAGAGATTCTCTCACTTTCTTCAATAAGTCTTATAATATGTAATAAACTACAAAAATACATTTATTATATAAACGAGAACTTATAAACTATATATATTTCAGTATTTATGTATATTTTCTTTTTTTCAAAATACATTACACATAGGTAACAATTTTTGTAATTTTTATTTTTTTTTTTTGGTCGCGTATATAGCATTTCTCTCACCGTGTGCATACGAGTCGCGTACTCGCGTTAAACGGATGTCGGATACTGACAGTATATACTATATAATCAATTACAAAGTCGTTTAGTGCCCATCTATTTTTAGATTATCTGTATCTGATAAGGTATAGTACAACCACAGGTACAACTAATAGGCAATAAACCGATATAACAGACAGTGGTGACCAAAATAATATCGTAATGAGAGAATCTCTCACCACGCGACCAACGACGAGTTAAATGAATTGATTTTTAATTAACTTGACTACTTGAATACTAATAACTACTACGTGCTTAAAAATATGATGAACTTAATATTATAAACAACAATCAACATTACCACTACACTTCTTGAAAATATATTAAAAATTTGAGGCCATAAATGTTGTCTCGTATTTGAGGTCTACCAAAGGTTATAGTTGCGCCAGTTGCGGCACTAAATTTTTTTCATTTTATTGGAGTACAAGTTGTACATTGTACTGTACAACTGGACAAGTACAAGCCACACGGACCCAATAACATTTTTCGCAACAGGGCCCCACAAAACCTAGTTGCGGCACAGGTCGGGATGATTTTCATTTCGATCATTACTGCGGCAACGGTACCGAACTCGTGAGCTGTGGGTCAAGAACCCGTGCCTTGTCAGACACACAGCCCAAAATTAATCAAAGATCTGTAAATTATAATGTCAAACAATCGTGTAGCGAGGATTTTTTTTATGGGGTGTTATAAAATTTAATTTAAATCAACAATAAGCTTGGCAGTCTCCACTCAAAAACGTTTTTTTATACGATATGATTAAACATAATGATTTATCATTGAATCCAAATTTATCCGTAATGGAACAGTACCTAACTGTAAGTCGTAACTATATTACTGTAAGATGAGTCCCCTAGATTTTTTATTTATAATAATTATTATACTGTTATAAAAGACAAAGCCACAAAGGTATATTACAATTTATTAGACATTATATATAATTATATTTCAACTGAAACGAATATGATGACGAAACAACAACTAACCAATAACCTCGCCAATAACAATTATTTCTAATACCTACCTATCTATAATATTTGTGATCATAATTATTATTATTTATTGTAGATACCTACCTATTATGTGCTATTTGTTGATAATTAATATAGTTATAAACTTTATCGAAGTATAATAAGTGTAAAACCTAGATAGAATAATATTAATTTTAGCCGAAATGAAAATCGAACCGATTTACCTAACTATAGGTGCCAACAGTGGCGTAGCCAGGGGGGTGGCTAAGGGGGCTATAGCCCCCCCCCCCCATTGACCGATGTTGACCTTAAAATTTTCTCAAGATTAATTAAAAAATTAAAAGCATAAATAAAAAACACATTGTATTTGTATACTTAGCCCCCCCCATAAAAAATTCCTGGCTACGCCACTGGGTACCAAGATACCAATTATAACCGGTACATATTCGATAAGTATTCAACATTTGGATATAACAATATCATTATTCTCATATTGTCTTTTCCATAAATTGTAATGCCGCTGTAACTTGTAGTGTTGTTGTAGTTTTGTAGTTGTATCTAGTTGTTGTAACATATTATCAACATATGGCCATACGCTAACACCGTCCAGATCCCTTTAAGTTGACGTGGAAATTATTGTCGCTGAACTCAGATAATATGTAGGTATTGTATACTATCTAGGACAAAAGTAAAAAAGTCAGAATTCTGCCAAAAAAAAAATATAGTTTTTTTCACGGATTACGCAACCTAAAATGATTTTTTGTGGGTAGTGGCTCATATAAGTCATGTCATAAGATTGCTTTATAAAACTAAATTTTATGTCAAGTTAATACAATATTTATTTTATATTTTGTGAATATATTATGAAATTATGTCTGCGTATTATTAATAAATAATAATAATTTATATCAATAAATATAAATATTTTTTTTATAATAGGTAGGTACTATTTGCGAAATATGCCATTTGGGAAAAATACCATACGTGAAAAAGGTCGACATTGTTGCGTAATTCAGTAGGTATTGTATAGGGATTTCAATAATATATTTTGTTATTAGATTTTCGTCAGGGGACTATAGTTTAGCAACATTTTAAATGTTTCTATTATTAAACGGAAACGAAATGCACGCAATACCATAAAAATAAAAATAAAACATTTCACTATAGTTTGCAATTGTGTTGAGATAATTATTTTAAACGACAAATGTGCAAATGACAGACATAGTTTAATTACCTATACCAGTACTTAATATTTAAAAAAAAAAAATAAATAATATTTAAAAGTATTCATATTCATTACTGCGGCAATGTTCAAAACAGTTTATAGTGATAAATTGGTTAAATATTATTAAGTTAGTTTAAATATTATAATACTATAAATCAAGCGATGCAATCATTTTTATTAAAAACGGTATGCTGTATACTGATTATCAACGTAACATGTAAGCTTTTTTTAATTTTAAAATAAATTATTAAATATCAGTATTTTATTTTCACAAATCAAATTAAATAAATTTTATTTAAGAATATGATAGTCACTACTCATTATTAGGTATGATTTTAAATGGATCGTATGATCTTTTATGTATAGGTAATAACTAATAAGTATCTATCTACCACTATTATTATTATTTTTATAATTCATATCAAACAAATATAATATGTATTATTATATTAAATACTAGCTGATCCCGTGCACTTCGTTGCCCGTTAAATGTATCAACTCTATATGACTCAAACTTTGTTCAGTTTATTTAATATTCGGTGTATGGTGTTCAAAATTTATCTTAACTTTTCTGTTGCTCGGAATAAAAAATCTGATTCTCAGCAGAACATTATCAGGTAGGCAATCTACCTGCGGTATATCGCGGACCCCATGCTGTTTGTACGTAAGTGTATGATTTAACTCTAAAGTATCAAAGTTATACCAAGTTTGTCGTTTTTACTTAATTCCACTTAAATTGGATAAGTATAATCAATTAATACAAAATCCTATTCTAACCTAACCGTACTAAAATCCGATGAATAAAATATAACCAAATTTAACCCTTTTAAATTAGCCTATCTTCATCCCAGAGGTCTAATCTACCCACAAACATTCATTTATATATAAATAAATTATATAAATAAATTATATAAATAATTATATCATTTATTAAAAAATAAGGGTTGATCGTAGAAGGGTGTATGTATTTTTGTATGTTGTATCTATTATTTTTTTTTTATATATATAACCAATATACCTTAGCAACCATTTATAAACAATTATTTCTACCGTAAATTATCAAAATCCCTGTTTGAGCACTTCTTTTATTTTTTTCTGCACAACCCTTATCACTTAGGGGCATGAAAAATATATGTTAGCCGATTCTCATACCTACTGAAAATGCACAAAAAATTTCATCAAAATCTGTCAAGCCATTTCGGAGGAGTATGGCAACGAAAACTGTGACACGAGAATTTTATATATTACATTTAATAAATAAAATACAATAAGTGTAGGTATAACTGTCAAAGAAAAATTTAAAATCTGATGTACATTTTTTGTTTTTAAAAAATTCAAAATAGCCAATTTATAGGTCTGGTTTTTAGAAAAATGTTTACTGTAAAAACATTTATTTAAGTCGTGTAGTTTATTTTTAAACATTTTTTGAAATCTCATTACTTTTGTTAAATAAGTTAATCCAGTCATAACAAAGTTTTAAATTGAAAAAGTATAAACTTTTTAAAATTATTTTATGAGAATTTTTAAATTAGCACTTCTTAACATCTAATTTATTTTTAAAAAAGTATTTACTTTTCAAATTAATGAAATACAACAAAAAAATTTGATATTTTAAAAATTATAAAAATAAACCACCTGAAATGTCTTCCTGTTACACCCTTTATATATATACCTACAATGTTTTACATTCAATTCAAGTAGGTACATCACAAACCACAGTAATGAACTGTGGTTTCTGATATATTCAATGACGATAGTCCTAGGTTTTTACTTTAAGTACCTACACTCGAAACCTAATATATCTATACAGCAAAACAGAGTTCCCCAATTTTTAAACATTAAAGATTACTAATAATACATTTTAAAATATAATTTAATTAAATGTTCTAATTTAGTCTGTAGCAGTTGCTTTAGGTCGGTATGCAAAGCTCGTTGTTACTTCAGACACAAAGGATTCGACTTCGGTTACTGTGAAAAAGGAATCTGCAAGTGTGCACCACCGGTGATCTACGTGTTCAATGGCATTGGTCGCGATTTGAGTGACGAATATATAGACAATTCATTGGGAAATAACAATGTTATCCAAAATTCGGTAAATACTGCAATTATGATTTAAATTTTGTATATATATGTTAGGTTGGGTTACGACAGACTACAAAGTGTCCTTTGGTACTAAGTAAAAACATTAAAACTGCCTCATGTGAGTGGGCATAGAATCAAAAACCTATTTTGTGAATGTGATATTTTTAAGAACCCATAATGTTAGGTAGCTGTCTCGTTTAATTTTAAACCTTTTGAAATAATAAATACACATTGAGAATAAATTGGGTCTCTTAAAAGTTAAAAACCCCATTGTGATAGGTTGCACGATTTTGGAGATTTAATGATGACTGACGCAGTGCCCGGAATGGACAACTTTCTGAACCGGAACCCTATACATTATTATTAAATACACATAAAGAATATATCTTTAATATATATAGATGTATATTAATATTAAAATTACAATGTGCGTCAATAAATATAATATATGTATTTAGTAAAAATATTGAGAATAAATTGCGTCTCTTAAAAGTTAAAAACCCCATTGTGATAGGTTGCACGATTTTGGAGATTTAATGATGACTGACGCAGTGCTCGGAATGGAAAACTTTCTGAACCGGAACCTATACATTATTATTAAATACACATAAAGAATATATCTTTAATATATATAGATGTATATTCAGGGGCGGACTGGCCAGGTGTGCTAGTGTGCCGCAGCACACCGGGCCGGCTTATATGTGTGGGCCGCTGGGGCATTTGAACATTTGACGATATTATTAATAAATTTATTTTTAAATACGAAACAGTTTAAAAACCACTGCTATTGTTTGGTACAATTCTACAATCAGTTTATAGTCGAACCATAAGTATTATAATAATAATAGTATGACTGTATGAGCACATATGGTATGTTGTATATTGTAATTACTAATTTGTATTATAATTCCTTAACCAACAATTTTAAAAATCAGTTTTATCCATGTTATAAAAACAAGGTATGATCGTAACTTTTTGACGGTCAGATCATTCGGTAAGCACGTGACGTAAAGTAGTGTTTATTAATAATAATTTAATGCCAATATGAGTAAGCAAGTGACGTATTGCGCGGACTTGGACCAAATCTGGACTTTTGCAATCATACCACGTTATTTATATCATGGTTTTATCAGTTATAGTCTAGAATTTCACAATTTTTGTCATACGTTAGACTCATCATATTTTATTTTTTTTTTTATTAGGTCTTCCTGTCTCAGCCTGTATATAGATTATAAATAAACAATAGCCAATAAGTTATACTATATATTTTATAAGAATGATAAATGTAAAAATGTATAATCCTTTTGATATTTTTGATGTTTGTTTACTATTGTTTTTATCATTTATTTCATTGTCACAATTCATACTGGTATTAAACCAAAATCATCTTAATCAGTTTCAGAATCATCGCATTATTATAGTCATTACTTTTAATATAAACTTCAAGCTTTAATAAATATTTGCAAATGGTTCAATGATTGTAGTTTAGCAATAACTTTCTGGCGGTCGATGTACCAACCAAATCGTATAAAGTGTTTAATTATTTTTCTAGATTGGCTATTTTGAATTTTTCCAATTTTCATTAGAAAAAATATTTTTTTATATTATACATCTATTTCATCAAGTGACTATAAATTATTTATAAAAAAAAAATTTATATATTGATTAGAACAAAAGTTTTTTTATCCGTCAGGTCTTCCTGTTACACTCTGTATTTTAAAACATTTAATGTATTCTGAAATAAATCATATTTATTTTAGGATGTATTATGTAATAAAACTCTGAAAAATACAATATCCATCACAATTAAGATTATTGTTTAATATATTATGTCAATAAATTGCTCATTTCTTTGAAATATGAAAATATTAATATTTTTTCTTGTGCATGAATACATTTTAGCTCTGTCGTGCATTCAAATAAAGTGTGAGAGGTTATTTAGTAAACTAAAAATAATTAAAAACATACTGAGGTTTCTTTAAGATTTAATACACCAACACCACTTTACACTACAAAGAGGAGGTATCCTGGGGTCTTCTAAATCTGGAATACAAGACAAATTAATAGGTGTATTATATATTTGATACACTATCCGAAAAATAAGGTATTCATAAAGAAGCTGTTATAAAGGATTTTGGGCCGCTTAGTTTTATAGAATACTGGGCCGTTTACCTCCCAGTCCGCCCCTGTGTATATTAATATTAAAATTACAATGTGCGTCAATAAATATAATATATGTATTTAGTAAAAAATTTATAAATCACGTAGGTATTAAAATTAAAATTAAATTATACCTAATCATGATATAAATAACTTAATCTAAGTATATTTTAATTATTAATTATTTATAATATAGTCCACAGTTAGGTATTTAACTTGTTTTCTCTTTTACGGTTGTTATTGTTATCAGCGAAATGTCGACCTTTTATTTTTTAATAACCAAGACTTTACGACGTAGCTTGAATTCTGTTAGAGGTTTTCCTGCAACAGAACAGCAACAGTTTGTATTATGGATAATCAAGTTCTTTACGGTGAAATGATTAATGATTTCATTCATAGCTCTACAATTTCGTTCACATTCACTTGTTGAAATAGGAGTTATAGCAATTAATTTAAAAATTAGTTTTAAATTTTTCGGTACATATCCTCTTCTCCTAAATCCATTTTGAAAATTCTAAAACTTCCAATTATATTATGTTAATTTTAACGAAACTGTTGACATACATTTTGAATATTTGAGTCACCATACCTTATATTTTTTATTTCACGATCATTTGCTCTAGGCCAACTTTTTGGATTTGATTTCGTTATACAGTCTATTCAATTTCTAAATTATTCACGTTTCATGGCGATGTTTTTCATCTGAAAGAGTGTAATTTGATGAGATAGAAGTCATCATTCAATTTTTTTTCGAAATTATTTGTTAAACTTCTATACAATTGTACAGTATTAATTTGTATAACTTTACCATTGTGTAGCATAGCTTCTGTTAATTTGGGCCCAGGATCAGTTGGCAATGAGAATCGAACTATACGATTGGTGGGTCGAAGCGATTTATTCATGCTACTAGTGAATGTTGATAGAAACGTCCGTGGTCCGTATTCTAAAAATGCACCTTAATTCCATCAAAAGCATAAGACATTTGCATGTAAACTAATTACAAATTGTACATTTGTCATCGTTTTATACAACCCACTATATTTACTTTTTTAACTAGAATCCCTTGTAGAATCCACTGAAACCAAGATTAAATGCTTACAAAGTACTAAAAAGTTTTTTAAAACTGCATTAACTGTTCGTTTGATTGAGGCTACCCAACGAACTCATAAAATTCAACCAATTTTTAAAATTTGTATTTCTAATGAACTATCGATTTTTCTTAGTTCATTAGAATTTTTCAGTGACCGATTATACAAAGCATAAATGTTGTCCATAAATACTTTTAAAATAATTTTAAATGATTAAAACCAGATACTTCATTAATAGCATCACCAACCGAAAGTTCCAAACGGTGATTAGCACAATGCCAAACAATTGTGACCCCGGCATCTGAAATTCTCAACAATGCGTGTGACCTATCAAAATATGGATTTTTGAAGGAAGAATCTAATTTTTCATTAAAATATATTAAGCAAGTAGGTACAATTTAAAGCCTAAAAAATCCTACTCTCGCCACACGTTAATAATTAGGTTTTTGATTCAACTCACTGACGCAATAACTGACCAGCCATGGAAATACTCTGTAAATTATAGTCTTATATAAGAGCATCTGCATTCAAAATAAAATATTCCCCCGATCATCATTATTTAACAGTTTAACAGGCCATTTATTAATTTTTTTATCGTTTAATTTTGATTTTGTGTATAATTTGTATTTTCTAAACCAAAATTGTATTTATCTAAATGAAATTTAATAATTTACTGTCAAAACTAATTATAAAAGTATACAACTCATAATAACAACTCATATTTCAACAAGGCTATACAAACTATTATTATACTTACCTCATCACTCGTAATTCGCGTTGGCCTATTTGTATATGTATTTAATGATTAAATATAAATGATATTGTATCATATTTTTATTGTTATATTAACGTACAAGTAATTCATACACTTTACATAGTATATAAACATACTGCAGAAATGTATATTATATTATGGTGTAAAAGGTTCGTGGTACTTACACCGAAATTGCTTAAAACTCATTTAAATATATTTTGAAAATTTATGGAAAAAAAGCCTATCAGTTATCACATTTTAATTACTACAATTATATTTTCTTGAATTACTTAATTACTTAATTACTAATAAGTTATAACAAAATAACTAAAACAGTAAAATCGTTATTTTTTGGTTTAAATAGATTAATTTCGTCAAAATTGAATTTCAAATGCTCACAAAAAATATGTCACTTTATATTTTAGATATTTTTTGTCGCTCTAATAGTAAATTATAAGGAAACAAATTGTATAAAAAGCTTTTATTTGGTTTAAATTTCAAACTGGTACCTATTTATAAAAGAATTATAGGATATTTATATATATTTTTTTTATTAGGAATATTTATAAAAGAATTCTTTTTGAATTGCGACAAAAAAAAAATCAAAAATTGTTCCATATTGTTTACTATACCTATATAATAATATTTACATATTCCCGTTTTTAGTAATTTCTGTTTTAGTTTTTTTCTGATTATTTAGAAAAACACTTTACAGTGGGAGTTTACCAATTGCGCTTAAAATGACCTTTTCATATACCAATTGCGCTCTAAACATTTTTGGGTCGATATACCAATTGCGCTCTAAAAATTGTAGGGTCGATAGACCAATTGCGCTTTATACATTTTAGGGTCAATAGACCAATTGCGCTCAAAACATTTTACACTACCTAAGGAAAAGTTATTAGTTATTAATTATAATCATATAATACATTATTATACTAACCGATTTTTTGCGAGTATTAATGTAGAATACATAATGTAATATAAATAAATAAACAATTTTTTTCTTCACATCATCTCTAAACATTTTAGGGCCGATAGACCAATTGCGCTCAATACATTACCTAAGGAAAACTTATTAGTTTGTTAATAACCGATTTTTTTTTTGTTTCGGTGAAACGAGCCTATACAGTTTAGATAATGAAAACTAAAATAAAATAGGTAATATTAATAATAATAGAATAGGTGGTTAAATCATAAAGATATAATAATAATAATAATAATAAAATTTTGAGTTTAAGGTAATCATGATGTTTGTATTTTGCATGTTTTAAGAATAATAATAATTTTTTAAATAATAATTTGAGCATGGCATTACAATTTAGAAAAATAATAATTTAATAATTAATAATAATTTGGTTAGTTTACAGAATAATATATTTGTTTACCACTAGGTATAATTATAACATGCTGATTTAAAAAAAGTATAATACAAATAAATGAATAGGTACACTAACCAGTCACAAGTTTTAAATTATTTTAAAATAATTAATTTGGTCACCACTAGGTATAATAATAACATGCTGATTTAAAAAAAGTATAATACAAATAAATGAATAGGTACACTAACCAGTCACAAGTTTTAAATTATTTTAAAATAATTAATTTGGTCACCACTAGGTATAATAATAACATGATGATTTAAAAAAAAATATAATATATAACACAAAGAAATTAATAGGTGGGTACACTCACTGGTCACAAGTTTGATTGTCAATTATTCAAAATTAAATTAATAGGTACATAATAATATTATAATTCACATTTAAACATTTTTACAATAATGATAACACACAATTTTTAAAAATTCGTTTCTACTAATTTCCCCAGATTTGTATTTATCGATATAAGAATTAATTGTTAATTTTTTTTTTAAATATGCTCTATTTGAAATATATTTTTCTTGGTCTATACTATTTATTGCAATATATGTGCTAGTCTGCGTTTCAATAATAACTTTTAAAAAGACAAAAATATTTGGATGGGGAGAATAAAAGTTTGTAGAAAATGAAGCGTGAAAAGCTTCACACGCATTAGTTGTACGTTCACAACTTATTGAATTGGACGCCCACAGTTTCGGAGGAAATGTAGAATTAGATGATATATAGTTTTCAACGAGATAATTAGTGAATTTGGTTAGATTTGAATTGATTGGTTGAATCGCCATTATTTCTTCTACAAACACATCCTCCACTTCTTCGTGTGAAAAAAGTGATAAACCAAAAACTAAATGTAGCCATTTTCCTACTTCAGAATTAGGGTTTTTATAATCTGTTTGTAGTCCACAACTTTGAATATTCCTCCACCAAGCTTGTGATAAATGAAATCGACACCCCACTAAAAGTATTGAAGGCCAGATTTGTTTAAGAAAATATAAGTGGAATAAAGTGCCCATTTTTCAAACCATGTATCGTAAAAAGTTGGTAAAAATATTTAGAACAAAATTCAAATGTTCCATCGACAAATATTTTGTCACAACTACATAAAAATTCTAAATTTGATTTGGTAGAAAAACATACTATATTCAACATATTGTCGTTTATAAGCAATAAATTCTCACCCTTGTATGTATTCGTATCCAAATTATTTAAAGCTGTATGCACTTCGGTTATATTTTTCGGTAAAGGTGGCAGCGTTTTTCTACGAGTACGATAAACGCTTCGTCGTATAGAATGCACATCGTTTAATGTCAAATCTAAAGCACTTGATTGCACTTCATTCCTAATTAGTTTTAGTGGTCGTGTTGTAACTTGGTCTGTTGCTTTTCTTTTTAATGAATTAGCAACAATTTGTCTATTAATATTTGAACTTGCTTCGTGGTTATGATCAAAATTAGATTTTAAAAGCACCGTTTCACTTACATCACATAAAAAATTCGAAGTACACGATTTAATTGTACATCTCCATTTTATTCCATTTTTTGAGATAGTACATTTTCGAAACTTAAACTCATCAAGAACTAATAACGGTTTACCTTTTTCACTTAAAGCTTTTGTAAAACGATCCATATTGTAACGTCAAACAACTAAAACTAATACTAAACGACTAACAAGACATAAGTATTGGGTACCTATCAATACGATTTATATAATATATTTATATTGGGTATCGTCAATGTGTTCTTCTATCTACAATATGTTGTGTTCAACGAAACAATTAGGCTGATAAAATATATCCGATGATAATGAAAACTTGTTTTCGTCCATCACTCAAATGCATACTTCTGTGATCAAAATATGTGTGTAATAATAATAACGTTTCATAAAATTCCCTATATTAATATATATAATAATAGGTAGGTACACTAATTTGAGCATGGCAATTTAGAATAATATAATTTAAATACAAGCGCAATTGGTATATTGACCGTAAAATATAAAGAGCGCAATTGGTACACTGACCTAAAATATAAGAGGCGCAATTGGTACACTGACCTTAAAATATAAGAGGCGCAATTGGTACACTGACCCTAGTATAAAAATTTTGTTTTAGGCGCAATTGGTCCATGCCCGACTCTCCAAAATACCAACTAGATAAACTTTGCTACCTGGGACCACCTTCAAAATTTAAGTTTAGATCACAAAAATAAAATTATAAGCATAGATAAATCATTATAAAACCAATAGGCCAATGCAATACCAATAACATATACACCAATTAAGTCAATATTTTTCTGACATTTGAAGGTTAAGTTTTTATAATATTATAATATTTTTAAATAGATACCAATACCAATGACTTCAGCATCGGATGCTTCAGATGAAAATAAGAAAAATAAGGTACCTGCCTACTTTTTAAAATGATAAAATAAGTATTACTGTAATACCTGTTACATAGTATACCTATTTAAAGACTTTTATTGTTAAATTTTTAAATACTTTTAGATCAAGTATTTTTAAAATCATATTTTTGGTATGAATACCTTAATTTGTTTCTTCGGAATGTTTATTTTATTCCATTTTTTTTAATAATAATTTAGTAAATTGTAATTTAAAATTTATTGATATTTCAATCATAAAATTACCTAATATACCTACCTATTTATATCTAATGTTAAAATAACAAAATTATTTTGATAAATATATTAAATTGTACCTATTTAAAAAAATTTAGTACCTATTTCAAATAAGTTTTATGCCCGTACACATAGTTAATTTATGTGTCACATAAGACATGTCAAACTATGTCTTACGTGACACACAAACTGACTATGCATAAGGACATAAGTCTTTAAGTACAACATTTTTGTTATAGATAATTAGATAATTAATTATACTTTATTTATTTAGATTTGGAAAGATATCGTTGGTAAAATCATCAGTAAAAATCCGTTTATTAAAGAAGAGAATCTTAAGGATCTAAAAGCAAAAATCTTTAATAATTTGTCAGACTTAAAAACCTTTGATAAATATCTTCGGAATCCATTAGAAACAGCGTTAAATGAAATGAAAAATAATATCCCAAGTACGTCTAAAGAATGTAATGATATTTTAAATATTTTGCTACAACAGCAAAAGAAAAATGGTGAAGAAAACCTAAACTCTAAAACTTCCCCTATTCTTAATGGAGATCCAAATCGAAAGCCGCCCCAAGGTACTACACCATCACCACGAATTGTGCCAACACCACAAATTGTGCCAACACCACAAATTGCACCATCGCCACAAACGACACCTAAGACAAAGAACAAATTAATAGCGTCTTCGCCTCGAAATTTAATACCTAAAACAATACCAGTGAATAGCATAGCAGGTGCTAATCCGAATGTACAAAAGACAAACATTAATAAAGTACGACCAAAACTTAAAACTAAACAAACACCAAACCAAGAGGATAAAAAAAATGAAGAAATCCTTCTTGAGCTATCAGATGAATCATATGAAGATGACGATAGTAAGGAACAATCTGACGAAAATATTAATCAAAACAGTCCAGTAAAACCTCTTACTCCAAATGATAAAGCTGGCGATAACTCTGTTCCTATCAAAAATGAAAAACTTGGCGATGATTCATCGTATGAATCAGGATCTGGATCATACGAGTCGTCCGAGGAAGATAATGCTAATAAAGTGGTTAATGCTGTACCTACTTCAAATAAATAAATAAATAAATATTATAGTCTACAATACCTATGTGAAACTACAAAGACAGGTAAAATAACTTTTAAATTAAAACTTTTATTATTGCTAATAAAACTTATTATTGACGTAACAGTTACATAATAATTTATGTCTCATATTATATTTTGTATTTTTTTTTTTATGGATATCACCAAACATTCTTTCATTCTTCTTCCAGTTGGCTTGAAGGTCAGTTTAGGGTTACTTTTGACCCGAACAACGTTTCTTAGAATTTGAAAGGAAATGAAAACTAGCGATTGAGAGAAAAAGGAAGAGAGAGAATAGTAGTGAGACAGAGATCGAGAAAGATGCACTTCTGCGTTCGTATATAATACAAATATGCCGAATATAATATAAAAACATAATATGTTTTATGTTCGACCCTCTGCACGGGGGTTCCCTTTGTAATTTGAAAACCATTTTAACCATATCTTACAAGGGGTTCGAAAACGTGTGCCATTGGACAAATTAGATTTAATAGCAATAGTTATAATACCTTGAAGCACAGGTGTATAAAGGTAAAGATGGCTGACACAATTACTCCGATTGGTCCACCTGATTTTTACCTGAACACTTATAGCCTATAGGTAAGAATGAAATAATTCGCCATTGATGAAGTGATCGGGGGTTAATATAGGTATATTAACCGTTTGTCAAATATGTTTTTGAAGTACAGTAGTCTCGAATCTATATAATATAATTCAATAAATACATAAGGATAAGGTGAATTAATTTTTATTATATTTTCTATTTTCGATTCGAGTTATCGAGACTGGACCGTCATTAATAATATACTCAACAATTTAGTTGTGGATTTCAATTGTTGGAAAATAAAAAAAGTAATTGATACAAAGGTTTACAAATAAAATAAAAACGTATATTAGGTAACAAGTAGGTACCTAACCTTTTTATACGAAATTTATAATTAAAAGAATAGCTAATAGCTGTTATAGAATATAATCTACCGACTACCAATAATTATTGTTAATATATTTAAATAATATACAAATTTTAAACTACGGATGTAGGGTTAGAATTTACCGTAGGTAGGTAAGTACCGACCAATATTTTAAATTAATGTATTAAATAATTTAAACAATAACCTAAATTGTAATTATAATTTAAAATAATGACGTATAAACTATATATATATAGTTACCATAGGATTTAATATGATTATTGATTATATTTATTTATATTCATATTTAATTATATGTATTTATTTACGCATAAGTCCAAATTAGTTACAAATTATATTATAATGATAAGCGATAACAATGGTAGTATACCTTATACAATTAATAAGTACCTAATAAGAATATAAACAGACAACATTAAAATTACTTAAACTTAACATTATTTATTAAGGTTTAAATTATATAAATTAAGTTGAAGTTCTTATTAAGAAGAAACAAAAACAGAACATTACATTATAGTTAAGAGGACGTCTCACCCGGATGTGTTGTCTCCGTCTTACACACGTACGACATAGCAAATTTTCGTTTGCTAGTTTCAATAGGGTATTGTCAGTTTTGATATTAGAGTGAATCAACCAATTATCAAACTTTTAGGTAACAACATTATTTGTGTTCTCTCGTTGGTTTTTTACGATATTTTAATTTTTAAGTGAGTTATGAACATTTTAGAATATGAATACTTTACATAGGTACCCATAACTCGCTTAAAAATTAAAATATCGTAAAAAACCAACGAGAGAACACAGATACTGTTCTTACCTAAAAGTTTGATAATAGGTCAATTCACTCTAATATAAAAACTGACAATATCCTATTGAAACTAGCCAACGAACATTTTGCTATGTCGTATGTGTGTACGACGGAGACAACACATGCGGGTGAGACGTCCTCTTAACATATATCTAGGTAAATAATTTATCATTGAAGTATATAATAATGTATTAGTATTACCAAATACCAGCTTCAGATAGTATTATATATATTAATATATGTATTAATATATTAATATGAGAATATGCTAAATATTTTTTTAGATAATTGTGGGATATAGAAGAGGTTTTTGTCACGTATATTATAATGGTTTATTTTAAAGTGTATTAGACGCCTCATCCGCATATGTGTTGTCTCCGTATTACAATTGCGTAACATAGCAAATTTACGCTCAGCAGATCCTGTTTAGGCCCGTTAGTTTATAAACTAAAGTGAATCGACCCATTATGAAATTTAATGGTAAAAATATTATCTGTGTTCGTATGTTTTTTTTTACGATTATTCAGTTTTTAAGAGAGTATTGAGCATTTTTAATTTCCACTATATTATACTGAGTGATTCTTTTATCAAACAACACTCATTATTTCAAAAAATGTAAATTTTTTTGAAAATATTTTTTTACATAGTTTCAAGTCGCTTATAAAACAACGTTTTTATAAAAAAATTATATTTTTAAATATTTTTTATCCTTATATTTTTTTATGTTTTTTACTTTTTTAAATGACAACATAGGGTTTTAATTTTATATTCTAAAGTAGAATGTTTTTCTTAGTATTTTGATACATGAAAATTGAATTTGGGTTGAGTAGTTTATGAGTTATAAATATTCAAAGTTTGATGAGCGGTGAAGTGGACAAACATTTCGCGGGGTAACCCCGAACCACTCCACTCCGCTCGTCTAAACTATTATTATACGTATATAAGGGCTAAATTAGACAAAAGTTAGAGTTAGGTATAATAATAATTAAAAGTCTTCGTTGTAAGACATCTGAATAAATTATTATTTAATTTATAAGTATATATTATGAGGTAAACATACATGATATATACATTATAATAATAAAATATTTAAATATATATATATGAGAACCAAGGATACATGTAGATGCACCCGTATCAAAAACAATAATTAGTGGTAAAAGAAAATTCCACTTATAAAAACCTTAAAAACCAACAAACAATAACTAATAAGAATTAGAGTATCTATATGGTGAGTAAGCTCACTTATTAATCTTATTCTTTTTATAGACCAAGACATTTTTGGAAGGGTGGCTTTAAGCTCCCACCTAGTCATGCCTACAATTTACAAGCCACCAGCAATACATTATTATGTATACAGGCATACAGCTAAATAACTTCTTTAAGTATATAATCAACTAAGCTCCCATTATAACTATAGTTAATTTTAATTCATATTGACTTTGTAACTTAACTAGTTGAATTTAATGTCTAAAACAATTTATTTTAACTCGTTAAAAATAATATGTAACTAGTTTTTTTTGTAGTTTTTTTTCCATTATTGAATTTTTCAATTTCTTATTATGTTAAACTTTATCTATACTTACCTTTTTGAAACATTTGATAAAATTATCAGTTGACAGTTGTTCAATTTAAATTTTTATTCATCGCCAATAATTCAAGTTAGTTGCCTACCTGCCTACTTAATAATTAATTTATGTAATGCATTACATTTGAAAAAAACGGTTTTTTAAATTTATATTTTAAACTAAAAAAAAAATAACATAACTTTTTCTCTAGTTTAAGTTACTATTTTCACAAAACTAACTCCTAACTAACTATAAGGTAGACATTTGGTAAATTTCAGAAACTAACTTATATTCTAACTTGGTTACTTTTATATTAAAATAGGTATTAAATAAGTAATAACTTTACTTTAACTAGTTAAAAATGTGGCTAACTTGCCCAGCTTTGATAATCAATCTTTATAAATATCAAATAATTTTCTTTTTTCCATACATTACATTTTGGATGGAAGTATGAGAATGTTGGAATCAATAAAATCTATAGTTATTATATCTCAACCTCAGCCATAATCGCCGAAGTCTATAATGTTTTAATACACTTTTGATATTATATTCTTACTGTCAAAATAGTTTCCACGGTTTAAAAATAAGGCACGTGATTTACAATATAGACAGGGTCATTTTAATATCATTTTATTATATAATATGTACCTACCTATATATTATAATATATTAGTATCATTATAACTAAATAATATGTCAAGGAATCAGGACTTAGGATATTGGTGAAACTATAATGCTTTTTTTTACAGTCATCCCTGCAAACATGTAGACTTTTCTGAGTGCATTTCGTCGCCCCTTTCTTAACATTTTTTATCCATGTGATAGGAGCTAGGGCACACAATCATCAAATACTTATTTGTCTCAGGTTTATTTTCGACCAGCATTTTTGCCTACATTTTTAATTTTAAATGTTCAAGCCGTATGATTGTTTTATAATTTAAGCGTTTAATTGTAATATAATAATAAATCCTCAAATATATGATTATGTTTCTTGACATAATCTCGGGCCGCGAGGCTGGTGGTAATTCAGTACCTATATAGGTAGGTATATAATATATAGTAGGAATTTGTTATTACCTACAATGTTGTTGCACACGAAGCCACCTATTATAGCTGCAGCAGCAGCAAACGAAACGTGGGTCTGATTTAGGAACCAATTGGTATCAGCTATATGCCTATATACTATATTATACTGCACAAAGTAAACCGGTGCAGTAGCGGCGGCGGCGTCGCACGACAACGAAAAGGAAGTTGTCTCGGGCTATGTGATGTTATATATAGGTACACATAACATGGTATATAACGTCGTCGTCGGAATGGCGGCACGGCGGGGGTGTGCGTGCAAACTCACACTCACGCACGACATTACGTATATATATGTACATTAGTACATTACATTATGTATATACATATACACACGTGCGTGTCCCTAAGGGTAGCGGCGGCGTTCAGACAAGATACGATAGAAGCCGGGTGTCCCGATCGTCGGCCATCAATCACAGCCGTGGTCCGAGAGAGGCTCCTCCCGCGCGCACAGATGTATAATATATATATATACTAGTATACGCTGCGCTGTTGCTGTGTGCAGTGCTTATATACATCGGTCGGCATTACAATATACACACGCACACACACGCTGGTAAATAATATAATATATATTTTCACGGAGTGGGGGGTATTAACTATGTATATTATAATATACACTATACGGTCGAAGTCTTACCCTGCGGGACGCTCCCCCACCCCGCCACGCACAGTTCTTAATTTAGAGCACGTTCAAGGACCCGCCCGCCATATCTCTCTCTCGGTCGTCGAGATCTCATAGTTATAATATAGTCGTCGTCGTAGACTGCTGCAGTCCCTTCGGGAGTTTACTAGATATAATATAATCACACGCATGTCATATACGTACGTTATCCTCCGGACACAGCACACGTCATCTGCGCTGATGTCCCGCGCGTTATAGTAATAACTGTCTTTTCAATCTTCATCGATATATAATTTTGACTTACCTATATAGATTACTCGCACGAGAGTCGATTTCCGCGGTGTTTGTATACCTAGGTACCATACATATACGTGGACTCACCATGATGATGGACTCGGACTCGGCGTATAAGCCCAACGGCGATTACCTCATGTCGCCGTACACCTGGCACACGCCTCAAGATTTGCAGCAATTTACCAACGCACCCATCGTGTACCCGTACAGTGACTACGGATCTGTGGTAGTCAAGTCTGAGTACGACGATGACGTTTGCGGGGTTGTCGGCGGCGGTGGCGGCGGCGTTGGAATCGGAATCGGTGGAGACCTCAGCTGCGGCGGTGGCGGAGACGGCTGCGGCGATATCGGAGGCGGTGGCGGAGGTGGTAGCAGCAGTTCACCCGGCCTGGAACACGACACGGTGGAACCGAAAAAGGGTACATATACTTTTACATACTACCAACAGCTATATATATGAGTACCTCATGGGTATAACGGATATATTTTATATAAAGCCAAGTCGCGATAACTCGAAAAACTTGACAACTCGAATTGTGTTTTATTATTCCCATATAAATTAGTTAGAAATCTCGAATAATACATATTATCTCGAAATTAATTTGTACCCCCCTTCAACTTCGAGTTATCGTGACTCGACTGTATATATATATATAATACATATTATATACGTGATTTTGAAATTTGGTATCAACTTCAAAACCGAATTTCATTATACAATTTTTCAAAACGGATAACCCTATAGCTGTACCTAATACTTTTCTCGAAATATTTACTAAAAATTATATTGACCCCGTTTATTATTTTTCCAACCCAACATCCGTTTAAATATATATGTATAAATGTATTGTTACTAATTATTATAATATTTATATAGTTTTAAACGTTTAGACGATGCGTTAAAAGTATTATACGTTAAATAAAAAACATTAATTTGTATATTATGTAGCTTTGTATGTATACGCCTTATCAACCTTTGTCTTATAGATCTTGTAGGTACATCGCACCATTGCTTTATAGAATCTCATAATGAATAAAGGGACAGAGTCCCTTACTCCCGTCATCTCTTAAATCTAATTTCAGTTTGCCGTATAAGAGTCTACAACTATTTGCAGACGTATAATATAATTTAATATTATTAAAATCAAATCTGTCACGCATATTATTATAGATCACGAAATTATAATACTATTATAGTAAAATAATCAAAACAAAGTATAAATTCTAAATCATAAAATACTTATCGCACATTCACCCAAACTATTAAGTATTTCCGATTACAGCTACATATATATTAGATACATCATATATTATATAATATACCTACATTATAGTTTATAGATTAATTGTATAAAGAAAAAAATAATACCTATATTTATTGTAATTAATAATAATTATTATGGGCTTGATAATATTGCTTTAAATTATTTCTTTTCCATTAACTTTGTTTTTATTTGTTACTTGCATTTGTATTATTTAAGTTGGCATCAAACACAAAGCACATATTGTATGAAAATAATAAATATGCAATACATTACAGAGTCTAAACTGCAGGTGTCGATTTGAAGTTAATTGCGAGAATAGCTATATTATCTGAAGAAATATATATTATGTGTAATTAAGGCGCCAAAATTAATTATAAACCAAAAAAATGAAATACAAAAAAGCAACAACTAAAAAAATATTACTGGATATTATGTTTTGTTTTAAGCAATGGTTTTCAATGGATTATTAATCCTTTATGCTTATTACGTATAAAAAATGAAATCATTTAAATAATTAGAATTAACAATTTTCCGTTGGTACTCAAATGAATAAATAATATACTCTGCAGCTTCATAAATAGTATAATTAAACTATAACTTAAAGTATATAATTCCGAAATTGCCACAGTATAATAATGAAAACATTTTCTCAAAGCGGTCAGTGTGGGTTATATAATTTATAGCTGATAAACTATATACGCGTACTACTGCACTATTGCAGACGGAAAATATAGATACACAACTCAGAATGGCGACAGTGCACGCATTATTATAATTTATACTGGATTAATATACTACTCCATATTTTCACCCCACTGCTGTTAGATGCAGCATGTACACTTAAAAGTGCAATATAGAGCAGTACATAATTTGTTAACCAGGAATATTGCATATTATAGGAAAGAAACGGTCGTCCAGATCGAAAGAAATCCAAACGCCGTTGAAATCAAGGAGACGATCTCCGCAGACCCCAGAAGAGATGCAAAGCCAACGGGTGATGGCCAATGTACGGGAACGGCAGCGAACACAGAGTCTAAACGAAGCGTTTGCGTCTCTCCGGAAGATCATACCTACGCTTCCTTCTGACAAACTATCGAAAATCCAAACGTTGAAGTTGGCCACGCGATACATTGACTTCCTGTACCAGGTGTTGCACAAAGCCAACACGGATGAAGTTCCCATGGTAGGACACACAGACTCAGATTCTCAGCACTCCATCGGTAAGTGTTTTACTACTTTGTATAATATTATATCTACCATAATATGTGGTATAATATATTTATTAAACATATACCATGGCTAGCAGATATATTTAAGAGCCTACTGCCCCAGAGACTTTAAGCAGGGATGTGAAGTTCTCTATACAGGTGGTTGTGCGGTATAATTTCAGTTATGAAGGGAATATATTATATTGGAGTAAATTATATACCTACAGATACATTTGTTTAGTTCTGCTGATATGTGTGTTATTCTTTTGCAAACAAAAATCATATAATTTTGCAATAATTATATATGAATAAAAAAACAAAATAACGATAATAATTTGAATATTAATTACACGTTAGGAAATTATTTTTTTGGATGCTTATAATATAGGTATGTCAAAATAAATATAATTTGTTGATAATATTATTAATAATTAGTATACTGTTGACTGCGGTCTGCCATCACAATTTTAAAATGGTTTTACAGAATCGAATCATTCATTAATTTTCCAGAGTATAAAATCAGAAAAAACTATAATTTCTTATACTTAGAGGTAACAAAAGTGTTATTTGGCGAAGATTAAATTATATTGATTTCTGGCTTAAATAATAATAATATTCCCATTAAAATATATATATCTGTGAGATGTATCAATTAACTTTAGGTACTACTACATACTGTACAGTATAATATAATATAATGTTAACCTACCTAGTTAAACACGATTATTTTATCGAGTAACATTGTGATATAGGTACCTAAATATTAGGTACCTACCTATTCAATATATTTTAAATTTTTTATGTAAATTGCGGCCCGGGCATATTTTGTACATACGTCAACTGCGGCCTGGCTATATTTTATAAATACGTAAATTGCGGCCTGAGTATATTTTATACATACGTAAATCGCGGCCAGGGTATAATTTGTATTAGGTACCTACCCAAATATTTTTTATTTATAAGTAATAATTACGTCTAAGCCTTTTTTTGCAAAATCAATATTTTCCTTCTCATTTTTCAGACTTAGGACTGTCAATATAATTGTATCAATATTGGTTTTGCTGTTTTTTGTTTTTAATTAAAAGATATATTATATTAGCAATTAGTAATAATGTGTCTGTAAAAATGTGTATGGTTAAAAAATGTATTATTAAATTAATTTATTATAAAAAATTTGTAATTAAGAAACTGGTAAAAATTTGAAAGACAATGCTCGCACATAGTCTAACGTAGTAATTTGTTTTGCTTGTAATTCATACATTTTGTCATGTATAAATGTTTCCCAGGCCGCAATTTACGTACATTTCAAATATACCCGGGCCGCAATTTACGTATGTTTCAAATATACTCCGGACGCAATTTACGCATGTTTTAAAAGTACATGGGCCGCAATTTACGTAGTATATAACTATGACCTTTTTTGGGGGACGCAATTTACCGTCTCCGATTCAATTTTCGAATATTTATCATAAAAAAAAAAAATTCTACATTTTCTAAATTGTTGTATGTTTACCTACTTTAGGTATATAAATAATAAATTAACTAATTCAAGATCATGATTTAATTTTTAAAAAAAAAGTTTTCTTCATAATAAGTACTAACAATATTATGATAATTATTTTACAATTCATGTAATATCATGATATACGATTAATGATTATAGATTATGATTTATCAGTTTTCTATTATTTTTGTACTATGATAAAGCTTAAGAGCACGTTCAGGGAATGAGATATATTATTTACATCTTATTATTCGTTTATATAGGCACTGTTTATAGTTTTTGGCGAATACGCATAATAAATATATTATACTAGGTAATATAATAATTTCACAATAATATACGATATAGGTACAACGCTGAACGCCAGTACCATTGTTTTTGAATTTGTTTGTAATTATGAATGTAATTTTTCATTTCAGTTTTCAACAAGTCCACAATTATATACATTTGGGTATTCTCTTAGGTTATTGCTCTTAGGGTCTAATCTGCGAGGGTATATATTCAAGTTAAACATTCATGTGTATAGTGTATATAGTTGTTATTCAATAGGATTATCTGTTTCGGCAACGTCCCTGCACTGTCACAACCGATTTACAAAATAATAATAAATAAGGGAAAAAAACTACAGCATGCGGTCCATTATTGTGAAACAAGAAAAAAGTCACGTTTTACACGATTTAGGATTTTAGAGGGATTTTATATTATACTGGAGTAGGTAGTCTATAGACTAAAATATTAACTTCGGGTTTTTCGATTCATATATCTATAACATCCACAATATGACATACAATTGTAGGAGGATTAAATATAACTTCGACCTTTGTTAAAATATTTTTTTTTATTGTCAACATTTGAAAGAAGAATATACAATTGTTGAACGACGAGTACTTCTAGTATAATATATTAATGTTAATTTATATAAATTACAATAGTATCTGAATAATAACATATTATATCAATATAATATTGATATTATTATTAACATAATAAAAGTAGATAGCAGTATATACATATTCAACATTTAAATATATATACCTACTAGCTACTTATAAGTTGAGTTTAGTAGGTATGTATGTATATAATCCTATTAATATTATTAATGCAGAAGTCTGTGACTTTGTTACTATTTCACGTAAAAACTACTGAATGGATTTCAATGAAACCTAACAATAATAATATAGCTTATACATCAGAATAACACATAGGCTACAAATCACCCCCCCCCCTAAGTCATACCAGGGTATGTGCTCAAACGGGAATTTAGATATTTACGGTGGAAATTTTTGTTTATAAATGGTCACCATGGGTTTTAAAGCTATTATAATAATAATTATTGGTTGACGTGAAAAAAAAAAATTAATCAATCACGGATTTTGTTTTCTTTTGTTTGCAAGTATAGCATTTTTACTAAGAATTATGAAACGAAAGCGTAAGTCTAATCTTTCCCAAAGCTCTAATAAACCTCGAACTATGAAAGTAACCAGACTTAACGAGACGTTAAATTGATTATTTTAATCAACCGTAGGTGGAATTAAGTAAAAACGACAAACTTGGTATAACTTCGATACTTTAGAGTTAAATCATCAATTACGTACAAACAACACGGGGTTAATAACGCCTACCTGATAATGTACTGCTATGATTCAGAATTTTTATTCCGGGCAACGGAAAAGATAAGATAAATTTCAACACCGTACACCGAATATTAAATAATGAATTGAACAAAGTTTGGGTCATATAGAGTTAATACATTTAACGGGCAACGAAGTGCACGGGATCAGCTAGTATATAATATATAGAACATATAGATCAGCAATATGCCAATATAAAAAGGAAATAACTATATAAGTATAATAACAACATAAATATGTACATACTATGTTAATAATACAAACAACATCATACATTTTATCATTTTTTTTTTTATTAATCCCTCTTCAACTTAGGCCATTGGGTGGTTTTTAACCGTGTGAGAGGGTACCTACTATAGGTTTAAACACGTTTACACAGTTTGGCAGATTTTTTTAGTGGGCGCCCGTATGTATCTGTCATGTCCGGGTGGGGGGTGCCGGCACTTCTCTCCGGACACCGAAGTGTTGCCCGAAGAAAAATGCCGCCCGCGTCCGAGGTTTTTTTGAAACGGCGTCTCTGCGCGTCGCCTAATCCGCTCGGCTACTCCGCCCCCCAATCATTTTATTATTGAATTTGTTATAATATAGTATATTATATTATATACATATATTTACGAGAATTTAATATTTTAAATTTTAATTGATTAATGCATTGTTATTTGTTATGACTGTTTTTGACATCAAATAAATTATTATTATTATTATTATTCTATACCATATTATCAAATTACAAATATTTTACTAAACTCGAATATAGAATTAAATTATTGTGCAGTAGGTACCTATGAGTAGGAACACGTACACGGCTACCCATTAGCGTTCACAGAGAAATTTAGGAGGTGCCAAGTGTGCCTGGCATATAGACCTATAAAGATCTTTATAGGTCTTTGGTGCCTATGTGCCTCTTGGCATTTTTTAATTAGGGCTCTTAAAGTTAAGCCCATGGATCAGGGATCCGCAGTTTACACGTTGCTACTAAATAAAATGTAATCTAATGTACTAAAATAAAACATTTTAAATAATTAAATTATTAATACCCGAACATTCGTAATAATTTACTAGACTTTTTAGGAGAGGGCCTAAGTAAAGAAATGACCCCGAAAATTCTGTGATAGACACCACCTAAAATTCAAATCTTCGCAGGCTTGGTTATACCTCGTATAATGTATTAATGTACAATAAAAAATATTATAATATTATCATTGCGAATAAAATGTGTTTCACACTTTCACTGTGCCTACATGATTTCTTTCAAGAAATAATTGTTTCCGTAAAATAATACGAAATTACTTATACCAGCACTAAAAATATTAAAGATTTAAAATTCATGCAATGCATAAATAAACTTGATATATCTGGCATTAATCCGAAATGTATTTTCACTGATAAACATACTAATGCAGTAATGCGTTGAAGTTATTTTGTTTGTTTATAATGGGTAACCAGCTAGGATAAGGTAAACAGTTTATGCGTCCAAACTAAAGGAAGTTTCGATAGGTACCTAAAACCTAAATAATAATATAATAGGGGACGGAGTGGCCGAGCAGACTAAGGCGTCGGCTGCCTCATTTTTCTTCGGACAAGTCACGGTGTCCGGAGAACAAGTGCCGCCATCCCCCACCCGGGCATGGCAGATACCTACCCCCAGTCAAAAATTCTGCCAAACACAACACACAAGTGTAAAAACCCTACCATTACAACCCTATTACCTACAATCTTAAAACCCTTCAATCAGCTAATGGCCACAGTCGCAGGGCTTTAAAGATCAATAAAAAAAAAAATAATAATATAATAATATCAATAATTTTATAATAGTATATTATAATCATATTATATTATATTATGAACTATGGAAATAATATTTATTTGAAATATGCTGAAAACTTTATGAATCTGTGTTGTATATCGAATATCGTAATAGGATTAAAAATAATATATTTATACTTCTAGTTTTTTCTTACCCTATTATTTTATTTATGGTATATTGTGTATATTTTTGTATAGCCTATAGTATATGTCTTATCAACTCACAACTTAAAAATTCACTGTAATTAATGAATCATAATAGGTGTTAAATTCAATAATATAATATCATTGTATACGAAAAACGATTCTAAGCGAGGACGGTCAGTCAGCCATTAGCCTATGGGCTATGGGCTATGATATATTAGTTATTACTAAGTATATTTGATGATATTATTGTGAACTAAGTAATTTATTTACCTATTTACGTGTAAGCTTGTTTTAAATTTTCAATCCTTGGCTATAAAACTTGAAAATTGTATACATTTTTAACTACAAAATCATTCTTAAATTTTAAATTTGATAAATGTTGTAAAAAATAGAATTAAATGCTTAAATAATTGTGCCTAATATGTATTTTGTTTTATTTGTTTCAAGTGCTAATGTAACAACATATCAGAAGCCTTATATTAAACTTTCACGCTTTTTGACCCAACAAATACAATTGTATTGACAATTATAGAAAAAACCCTCGTAACCTCCATATATACGTCACTGATATCTGATATCACGTACATTATGCAAAAAAATTATTAAAAGAGTAAAGATGTAGGTTAGGTACTATTATTTATTGTACCATGCGTTTCATTTAAAAAAATATTTGAGGTACTTGACGGAGTCCCTCTGCGATCCACAATTTAAAAGTCGAGCACTGTTTGTAGATAATTTTATTCTAAGTTAATGTTTATAAGTTAAAACATGAGCCTAAATGAAGTATTTAAATACAAATAAGATAACTAAAAATTTTTAAAAATTAAAAATAAAATGTAATATTTTTTTAAATGTATTTTAAATGTTTGCATTTTTATATTTGTACCTACTCTATTTGTACTACCTATTATTGATGTTATTATTATTTTTATTTTTTTCAGAACAAGGATCTTCCGGTACTGGATCTTGCACGTACGTGGCTCATGAACAACTCAGTTATGCGTTTAGTGTGTGGAGAATGGAAGGCGAATGGAACAACGTCAACCAGGAATAATAATTTTAAAATTTAAGTGAACAAGGGGGTGGGGGTGTTTGTACATCGAAAAGTATTGATATGCAACTAAGTATTTCCTTTTGCAGTTTTGCATATTTACACACACACACACATATATAATATATGTACCTATTTAGTATATATGATATTATGTATATTATTTAATTTAAAATTATGTTTAGTTTTTATACTTTTTAAACGTTAAGATATTTTTTATCGATTTTTATTTTTTATTATTATTTTTATGTACATAAAGCCACCAGTGTATTAATATATTTTTTTATTAAGTTTATTTTTTCTATACGTGTGTGGACAATTTTTTTCTCGATTACTGCAAAACCTCGTCCGCGACCGTGGTCGGGTGGGAGGAGGCCGTTCACATGCCTTCAGATTAGTAATAGTGTCTAAAAATACATTCGCGCCTCACCATTCCTGGGGGCAGATCAATCGATTGCATTTCGCGTGTGTATAATGCGTAGACAAAAATCCGAAGAAGGAGGGGACAAAATATTAAACCGGACGTGACCGATGATGTTGACTTCCTGTGGGCCTTTTATGATTCTGGAAAGCGCTAAATTTATCAACACCGTCCCGCCATTTCTTACAAAATAAAACTTCTGCCAATGAGTAAAAATATGGTTGAAAAAACAATAATGCGGTGATTGGCAAAAGAAAGGGAAATTATTTTATTTAAATTACGTATAAAAATAAATAATACATGGGATTGCGTTTGAAATTCGATTCTATAAAACGGTAATACTAATAAGCCAACAAATAGTAATGACGTATTGATGTAGTACTTTATATTCATATTTCAACGATTTTACTGTAAGTATATATTATTTTCTACTAGATGAAATACAGAACTCATTAGTCATGTTTTATAGAATCTGCATAAAAATACAATTTTTTTCAACACAAAACAAAAAGATTATCACAAAGAAGTTGGTGTCACCACAATCCTTAAAGGGTATAGAAAATCTAACAGTGCCCATCTGAAAATAAGGTAATTAAAAGTAAGTAGGCATACCTCTTAAAAATTCCGAAAATCATAATTTGAATAAATGCATTAGGTAGGTAGGTATTAAATGATAAATCGCGGGGGTGAGCATAGTTGGTGAATCACTCTGTATACATAATAATATATGTTATAGTTTGTGCAGCATAAAGATACCATATTATATGTATAAAACGGGAAAGCCGTAAAGTCAGGAAGTGATTTTATTTTTTTAATGGGTATTTTACAGCGTTATTATTTTGCAATCGGATATTGACGATATAGTATTCCTCATTAACCCGTATCCATTCATAGAACACGGAAATGAGCCCACGAAAACGTCTTTATAATGTATACATAAAATATATACGGCACACATAAACTTTTATGATTTACGACTTAAGGTATACACGGTGCACATATAATAAATAGGTACGTATTACATATATTGGCAATATATTATGGCATATTATTATTAGGATATATTTTATCATGGTGAGTTAATTATTAAAGCGGTGACGGGCCGAATGCAAAGGGAAGATAATAATATTGGAAGATCATTAAAAACAATGTCTGTCCCTCGTGTGTGCAGCCTGCAGAGCTGCAATCGTTAAATGCGGTTAATGAGCTGAAAACGAACCAAAATGTATGTGTGCCGCCGTTACAACTATATTGTTCAACTGCAGCAGCGGCGTTTCTTCTCATTCCACCGCGTATTCGTGTATAATACAAGTCGTCCATATAATACCATATTACCATGTATAATGTATATACATTGTGATACACTGATACTGTACAGTGTATATAGGTATAGTCCACCGCCATCATCGGTCGTACCTTCACGTACATATATATACACGTCATAATCACTTGTATAGAACACGGCTGCTGCAGACGGCTCTGGCATTTGGTTCTAATTAGACATATACCGGGGCCAGTCTTTGTCCTGGGATTGCAGCAGCAGTATGGTTTATACGGTCGGATTGTGATAGCTGTGACTGTTATTATAATATAAATTAACCGCTGTAGATATCATAATAATACAGTATATTGAATACAATATTATGTAATATTATATCGTTTTTTTTTTTTAAACTTTTGAATGAGAACATGTCAAAATACATTTTTGATTTGATCATATTATATTCCGAAACAGCATATTATTATTCGGTGTATATCAATCTGTAAAAATCAAATTTCGGACAAGTAAATACAAGTAAACAATACCTCAATACCTCAATATATTTCAACAATTTAATCACATATAGAGATAAATTCTGTGGGGTTGGAACTAATTGACACAATATGTTATAAACTGAGGAAAACATTATACTGGTGTGTTCTCGTAACTGTACGACTATTACAGTAGATCGAGTGCTGTTTTTTGTGTGAAACAGTTATCATAAGCAATGTAATATGTGTAGGTATATGGCGTTAGGCGTGTAGCTAGAAAACATTCTTAGGGTTGGCCAATATTTTTAAAATGTAATTATGTAAACGTATTTTATAGGTATTTAGGTAATATAGTTTTTATTGTAAATATAATAGTAGGTATCGTATTGTGATTCTTATTCATCAAGTATATATTTTCATAGGATTAAAAAAAAGTGGGTGGGCTGGCCTAAGGTAAGAGTTAAATTAGACCATTAGGGTAAGCCCAACCAGCCCCCCCCCACTACGTGCCCCCCTTGCTACATTTCCGTGTGAGGTCCTCTTAACATTTAGTATAGAAGTATTTTAAGTAGGTACCATGAAGATAGGAAGCCTGAACCTAAGACAGGAGTTTCAGCCCCCATAACCATCCTTGTATCCACGACTGACTCCAGTGGCGCACCCAAGGGGGGGGCTTTGGGGCTTAAGCCCCCCCCCCCAAAAAAAATATTTTTTCATTAAATTACACATTATTATAGAAAATATAGTATAACAATGATAAATTATAATGTTTTATTTTAAAATTTTGTTATTATGTTAGATACACATATAATATATACATAATAGTTCAATACTACGCGATAAGGTTTGTGACAATCAATATACTCTACGGTGGCTATCGTCAATTTTTATTTCGTTGAAAATTATTTTTAGATTTATAGATACAATAATGATTACGTACGGTCGACTTTGATTGTTAACTACGATAACAATGATAATTATGACTTTCGACTGTCTGTGGCATGAAAATCTCGTTTAGATAATTCAGTCTGTTCGATTTTTTACAAAATTGGTTATTTAAAAATTAGTTTTAATTGTTTACTTGTGTGTAAGGGAAAAAGAAAAATTATTAAGCCCCCCCCAAGCAAAAATTCTGGGTGCGCGCCTGACTGACTCCACTCATATAAACTTTATTTTGATTATTATTATACCTAAATCTTAAACTAGAGTCTATTAAACTTTTCATACTACAGTTTTTTAGAGAAAAATAATAAACCTATAATATAGGTACGTTTCTTTTTTATTTAATGATAAATTTATTCAAATTCTGATTTTTGGAACTTCTAAACAAACTTATATGTTAAATAAATGTATTAAAATACTTATATTTATATATATCATTAAGTCCTGTTGGCTGTGACGAAGCAAACTTCTTTTTTTTTAAAACTTTTTTAAAAATTGTATGCATCCAAATCGACATTTGGCCTATAGAAGTTTTTGAGTAATTTCGTTATAAATGTGTACTAAGGGTAATATATGCCCATATCATTTATAATAAAACGGGTTTGACAGATATGCGAGTTATGATGATTTAAACGTATTAGTAGGGAACTAATATAAATCCATCAATATTTTATAATAATTTGTATCGATAGATTTTTATAAGAATTGTCCAAGTATAATAAATACTATACTGCCTATACTATATGCCTATATCCCATATATTTCAACTTTTTTAAATTATTGTAAGGGCTTTATAAAATGATTATGATTCTATTAGTATACGTTTTAATAAATCAGAAAATATAAAAAAAATATGAAAAATTGAAAATAAAATGGTCCTTAAATATTATATATACTTAAAAATTTCAAAAATCAATATTTTAATATAATATTCATTATTGAAGGGAAAAATGGAAGTGAACATGCTTGGTGAATCACCCTGTATATATACACATATACGTATAGCATAGGTATAGGTGCCGAGATGTAGAGGCGAGGAAGAAAAAAAATCGAATAGGAAAGGTTATTTGGCCTGCCTCGAGTTTACCCGATGACATGACCGAAAAAATATGATCCTCGACTGCAGAGATAATTCATTATAATATTATACGGCACCATCATTTTAAGCATTTAAAACATACGATAAAGTATTAAGTTACGCATATGAAAAAAATATTTTTTTTACATTGATGTTTATCGTCGTCGAGAAAAAAACGAAAATCTCATATTATTTGTATATTTTGTATGAAAAAATTTGTTATTACCTATAGAATATATACAAACAATTTACAGCAGTGGTAATGATTAAGGATAATCGTTTAATATACTTACGCTATATACGCCTCTACTATAGGCGAGATCATGCCGAGTGTTTGCGACTTTTTATATTATATGTCCTTATTGTATTCGTAGTTTCGTACCTATATAATTTACGAGTACTAATTACGAAATATATATAATATATTATGTTTATATGTTTATTTATTTACTAAATTAATCCTGGACGATCCCAATTATATTATAATAATTAATAACTACGAATATATTTTTAGCATCGTGCATAGAATTAATCTACTAGAAATTCGTTCATCTAACCAGGTGCAGGATAATTTTACACCGGTCTGGACAAATTTCTGGATAGAATACAAACGTTTTATGAAAACAAAATATACTAATCTTCACTACTTAAAAGTGAGATGAAATCGTCGAATCCTAACAATAGCCAATAGGTCAAATAACTATAATTACTTATGTATAGGAACATGAGGTCAAAGGTCATTAAAATAGTGAAATGGCTCCGTAATATTGCAATGCTAGCACAGAAACGACAATTATTGAAGCATGCATC